TCCTCGGAAGGAAGGTTGGGCAATCTACTTCCATAGTGATACCGCCTCGGAAACCCAAGGAGGGGTCGCTATGAGTCAGGTCTGAATGGCACATAACAACAACAAGACTCTTTCCAGAGCTTGCAGACCAATGAGGGGCAGGGTTGAAAGGTGCTTAGCGAGGAGATTTGATCTTTACAAGTTATACGGCCCTGAGGGTGAGTATGGGGTGGGGGTGACCTTAGGATCCAGAAGTCTGAGAGACCGTGTAGAGCCCATACATGGCTGGCGTGGCCAAGCCGACGCAGGGGAAGCAGAGCCAGGCAGATGTTTGCATGGAACTTCTGCCTCTCAGCCACTGAGTGACTGAACGAATCACCTGGCTCTGTGAGCCTGCTTCCTCCTGTGTGAAATAAAATGAATACATTTTTCAGGGCTGTCGTCAGGCCCTTGGTAGGCGTTCATCTCAGGATGCGCCAGGCAGCCAGGTGATTCCCCAGGGAATCCTGTCCTCCTCAGCTAAGGTCACAACAGGCCATACTTCAGAATCCCTCTGATTCCTTTATGGCCTCAACTCCCTGTTCCTTCCTGAGGGACTGTGTGTGTGGAGGGGCCAGGCTTGAATGGGAGAGGAACTCAGGAGAAAGGTGGGGTTGAAGAAGTCTCACCAATAAGAACTGAAAACAAAACAAAATCCATTGCTGTTGATTCCGACTCATACTGACCCTATAGGTCAGAGTAGAACTGCTCCATAGGGTTTCTAAGGCTGCCAGTCTTTACAGAAGCAGACTGCCTCATCATCCTTCTGCAAAGAGGCTAGTAGGTTAGCACCACCGACCTTTTGGTTACTAGCTGAGAACGTAAACCATTGTACCACCAGATTTCCTCCATTAAGTACAGGGATCCCAACAAGGAGGCAGAACTGTGGCAAATCAAGGCCAGCCAAAGGGTTCAGGTCACTCTCGTCCCGGTGGGAGATTGTTAAGAGGCAGAAGTGGTTGTTCAAGCCTCAAACCCAAATATTTACTCCCCATGGGTGGGGTTGAAGCTAGACATCGTTCATGGCTCAGGTCTCCGAGCCTCGAGTCAAAGGTTCCAGTGACAAGGGAGCAGGGCTGGGCATGTGGGTGCTGGGAGAGTGAGTGGATGGAAAATGGGCTCTGTCTCTGGACAGGAAAATGAGATTTTCTGGCCCAAGGGCAGACCCTCTGCTTGAGGATAATAAGGGAGATCCCTGTAAACTGAGGACTTTCTCACACTTGTACACTGGCCTCCCCTTCCACGTGTGTGCCCTACTCAGAGTGCAACATGAACTTGGGCAGATATGGGCAAATCATGCCCCCTGAGGCTCAGATTTCCACTGTGTAAATGGGAAGGTTATAAGATTCTAGTGTAACACTGAACCCCAGGCTGCCAAACAAGGCCCTGGGGTGCTTGAATTGTTCTTAGTGATGACCTCAGGTGTCCCTCTGCCCATGTACACATTTTAAGAACAAACTTAAAACTTCTTTTACCACATGAAGATTTTTATTGAACTCAAATTCAGGGGCCCCAAAGCCTGAGGAAGACAAGGGAGGCTGGGTGTTAACTCGGGGGCCCAGGCCCCACTCCCCACCCCACCTACCCTCTTACCCACTTCCTGACTCAGGGTGGGTGTCAGCAGCTACCAACCTAATCTACCCGACTCTAATTAAGTAATCCAACCTCTCCCTCCCCCCACCCCCTCCTAACACTTTGCCAAGCCAGGCACCCACCAAGGGCCATGCGGCTGCTGAGGCCAGCTCCCTGCTGACCTTCCTGGATCTCTTCCAAAGCCTCTTGCTGCCTGTTTGGCCTCCCTCCAACCCCTCTTCATAGCCCATTTCCCATAAGTCTCCAGGGCATGTAACTTCCTCCACCCCGGCTCCCTCTTATCCTAGAATCTTCAATGCCATCCTCTCCAGCTTTTCCACTGCTCTAAACGTTTCTCTGGCTCCCTCTCTTCTACCCACACCTCCCTCACCCCCGGCTGGGTCCCTGGTCAGCGCCGGCCAGCTGCATGGGTCCGCTGGTGGCGGATGAGGTCGGAGCTCTGTGAGAAGGCCTTTCCACAGTCATCACACTTGTAGGGCCGCTCACCACTGTGCACGCGGTGATGCTGTAGCAGCGTGGAAGAGCGGCAGAAGCCCTTGCCGCACACGGCGCACCTGTAGGGCCGCTCGCCTGTGTGGGAGCGCTGGTGCTGAATCAGCGTGGAGGAGCGGTTGAAGGTCTTGCCGCAGTCGGGGCAGCTGTAAGTGCGGCCCGGCAGGTGGGTGCGGGCGTGGATGGCCAGCACCGAGCTCTGGCCAAAGCGCTTGCCGCACTCAGGGCACTTGAAGGGCTTCTCACGGGCATGGCTGCGGGCGTGAGGGATAAGTGCCGAGCGCTGTGAGAAGCTCTTGCCACAGATACCACAGCTGAAGGGCCTCTGGCCAGTGTGCACTCTCTGGTGGCTGCGTAGGGAGGAGTTCTGGCTATAGCACTTGCCACACTCAGGGCAGCTATAGGGCCTCTCATGGCTGTGGGTGCGCTGGTGTCGCAGGAGGTAGGAGCTGTCGCCAAAGGCCTTGCCACAGTGGGGGCACTTGTAGGGCTTCTGGCCCGAGTGGGTGCGCTGGTGGCGAAGCAGGTAAGAGCTGTCAGCGAAGGCCTTGCCACAACGCGGACACTTGTAGGGCCGCTCACCGGTGTGCGTGCGCTGGTGTTTGATGAGGTCAGAGCTCTGAGAAAAGGCCTTGCTGCAGACCTCACACTTATACGGCTTCTCACCGGTGTGGATGCGCTGGTGCTGGATCAGGGTGGAGCCCCGCCCAAAGCTCTTCCCACAGATGCCACAGATGTTAGGCCGAGGGCCCTGTCCAGCCCTGGCCCGACCACCCCGCCGGCCTGGGCCCCGGAGGGCCCCCGTCAGGCCCAGGGGATTCTGGAGCATCTCAAACTGAGGTGTAGACAGCAGGGTGCCTGTGGGCATCTCAAAAGGTGGCCCTAGCGGCAGGCCCCCTGTGGGCTGCTCCCCAAACCCCTGGGAGAAGGAGTCCAGGGGGTGGACTCCCAAGGGGATGCTCAGGGAATTCTTTTCTTCGGGGTTCAGAAGCATCTCTGCACCTTCCTGGAATTTGGAACTTTGAGTGTCAAGTTTGGAACTTTGAGTTTTGAACTCAGGGTTCTGGGGTTCATACTCTGTACTCTGGGATTCATATCCAGGGCTCTGGGGTTCATATCCGGGACTCTTGGGTTCATACCCGGGGCTCTTGGGGTCATACCCAGGGCTTTGGGGTTCATACCTGGGGCTCTGGGGCTCAAACTCAGGGCTCTGAGAATCTGATTCAGGACTTCTGGGTGCAAACTCAGGGCTTGGGGGCACAAACCTAGGGCTTCCGGACTCAAAACCAGGGCTTTCAGGCTCAAATCTGGGGCTTTGGGGTTCAAACTCTGGGCTTTGGGGTTCAAGTCCAAAAGGTATCTCTTCAACCTCATAGTCTCCAGGGCCTTCTTGCTGAGAAACTTCTTCTTCCTTATTGTCACTTATGTTGCCTGCAGGATCAGAGAATTACAGAAAGCCCAGATTGTGTGGGACCTAGGTCATTTGGTACCATTGCCACACAACTCTTCCTCTTCCCCAAGCAGAGTCGCTTGCCCTTGGGAAGGTGCTGAAACTCCCACCCTCATCCCCTGAGCAGACCCCAAGCCAGCCAGCCCCCAGCCCATCCAAGTTCAGAGTTCAAACCCTCGGCTCTCCTCCCCTCCCACGAACCACTGGCCCCTCTCCCACTCCCAGGCACACTCCTCTAAAGGGCAATCTCTCCCTCACCTCTGAGGGACCCTTCGAGGCTCCCTGTTTCCTCAGGACTGTGCACATCCCGTGGCTCGAGGCCCCACGGCGACGCCTCCCGCTCCATCCCCGCTGGCTTCCAGTGCGGTGGCAACGGCGGCGAAGGAGGACGATCCTGCGACCCGGCCTCAGTGCCCTGAGCGCCAAGCCCTCGCCGCCCGCCCGCTCAGCGCCTCCCAGGGGACCCGGCTGCCCAGCCCAGGCCCCCGAGGCCGGACGTCTTGACCCTGGGCCTCTCCCGCCCGCCGGGCCCCTCCCTCCCCGCGGCCCCGCCCCCCCCGACAAGGTCCCGGCTTGGCCTGTGGCCCTCACGGACCCCACGCGTCGTGGCCTCGGGGATGAGGGACTTCACAACTGCCCTGCCGCCCCCGGACACCGTTCCCCGCCCGGGACCCCTGCCGTCTGGCCCCCCAGCCGGGGCTGGACTGCGGCTGTCCGACCCCCTCCCCCCGCACAGGAAGTGTCCGTCCACGGCCAATTCCCCCCGCTGGCTAGCACCGCGGCCTCTCTAGGAGCGGCTGGAGGTGGAAACTCGTTGGCATTAACCCTGGGCTGGATGGCCCCGGCGTTGGGTCGAGGGCAGACACGGCGCCCCGAGGCCAGCAGGAAGGGCTAGGGCAATTTGTGCACCTATGTCCTAGGTCTCCATCAGTCCAGGAACCTGTCTGTCTCTCTCCCAGACCCTGCGTCCGTCAGTGCGTGTGGCCAAGGGCGAGGCGACAAGCGATACCAAGGTCAGCGAGAAGGAGCGACGCTTCCCGGCGCCAGCGGGGGCGGCCTCTAGCTCCTCTCCCTACCCGGGCCTCGGGGTCAGCTCCGGCCGTGCCCCGGGAACCTGGGCCGACCTCCCTCGGTCCCTTAGAGGCCCTTGGGCCTGGGACCCTTTCCTCATACTCTACCCCCACCCCCGGCGCGCCCACTCCCACTCCTTCGGACCCCCGCCCTTCCTTGCTCCTCCGAACCCGTCCCTTCCCCCCCTCCAGGAGTGCTGGGATCGTTGCCAAGGAGACAGCTCCGCCTCCGGCTTCCAGAGGCACCACCCCTACCGCCCAATGAACTCAGCGATTGGCCGATAGAGCTCGTGCTCTCACCACCCCCCTCCCACTCCACGGGATGCGAGGCGTTAACGGTCGTAGCGCAGGCAAGGCGCTTTTCTGATTGGCTGAGGGAGCACGAGGACTGTTCCACCTTTCGGGTATGCCAGGAGCGCCTGCGGGGGTGAGCGGGAGCAAGGTGCGTGGTGTCTCTGCACTTTCAGCGCTTTTCCCGCCCCCATTTACCCTCCATTTAGTTGTAACTTTTTAAAGCAGACTCCCTCCACTCCGCGTTCTCCTCCTTCACTTCACACAGGTTCCAGGTACTGGAGGGACAGCCCAGGCATCCTGCCACAGAGAGGAGGCCGATTTCTTCTCTAATACTCTGCCTTCCCACCTCCATGTTCCCCAAAACCTGAGTTCAACGCAGTCTCCAGGAGCCTTAGTTTCGGGTTCCTGCAGTGTCTGACAAAACTCAGCTCACGGCCATCCAGTAGATTCCGACTCATAGCGACCCCCACTGGGATTCCAAGGCTGTAAATCTTCACAGAAGTAGATTGCTCCCCCTGCCTTTGTGGAGCAGCTGGTGGGTTTGAACCAATGACTTTCTGGTTAGCAACCAAACACCTTATTTACTATGCCTCTTGCATTTTCTCACAAGGAGGTGGAAATCCTATAGGGATTCTTCCCAGGTAAGGGTGGTACAGAAGAGTTCGTTCAGGAGGAGATATGGCCAGAGAGGACAAATCTAGCCTTTAAGACAGCTTAGAATACCCCAGTCCTGTCTGACTTAAATGGAGACTTGGAGAAGATGAGAACCTAAGAAACACTGCCCCAGATGAAACTTGGAATCCAGAAGGAAGTGACCTTGGAAAGAAAATAGAATTAGGACTTGAACTTTTTGTACCCTTCCTGCTGAGACAAGTTTAGTAGGGTTCTTGACACTTAAGGAGCTAAATTCTCCCATGAGCAATGCAGGAGCCATGGACTGTGTGCATTCTTGGTGTCTACTTAGATGGAATCAACATGAAGGCAACTAACAACTCCCTGCACAAACAAAGGAAGGTGACTCGTTGGGAGGAAAGATGACTGGCACCTTCCATTCTCCAAGAAGAGGTCAGAACAAGAGTTTGGAGAATCCAGGTGGTAAAAGGCTGGAGATTAGAGATCTCAATAGTGATCTTTTAAATACAAGCAGATTTTTGCACAAATGAAGCTGGGGCATCTATCTCCCTCCAGAGGAATCGTTTCCAACTCTATACCTCTCTCCCATCCTAATGTCTGTGGAGTTTGTCCTAAAACCTTTGCGAAGAAGGACGCAAACACTAGAAAACCCAAACAGGTAGGGCACTTGCTAGCTGGTGCACTGACGGGGAGGAGCTTGGCCTGGAGCACTCCCCAGTCAGCCTCGTGCACTCGCACAGGTGACAAGTGTTTTCTGAAGGAGACACTTCACACCAGAGATTTCCACTGGAGAGCAGCCACATCTTACAAAGCATGTGGCAGGGCCTCCAGCTACAGCTCTGACATGGTTAACTGTCTGTACACTTCACACCAGGGGCCACAAGTCCCAAGTGTAGCAAAATTTGGGCCCAGAGTGTCAAGTTGTTCTGGCACCAGCATTCCCACCATGTGGAAATTCAGTCTAGGAGTTGGTCCCAGTGTGAGTGCCTAGGGTGAAAGTTCTGGTGGTGTACTGCCTAAGGCATTTGACTGCAAACCAGAAGGCTGGCAGTTCATACCCACCAGCCACTCCTCAGAAGGAAGATTGGGCAATCTACTTCTATAAAGACATCACCTCGGAAACCCAAGGAGGGGTCATTATGAGTCAAATCGACTTGACAGCAGTGAGTTTGGTTTGGTTTCTGGTGCCTAGTGTGGGAGAAGGGTGGCTGACCTCCAGCCTCCTCCAGCAGCAGTGTCTGTGCCACAGGCCTTCGAGAGGCAGACAGCCTCAGGCTGCCACAAGCCCCCAGCACCGAGAGGCTCCAAGCACAGGGAAGCCTCTGATGGAGCTTCCAGTTTGACCCAGCACCAGCTCACTGAAAGCAGGAAAACTCGAAAGTCCACTGAGCCTTGTTCTACCACTCAGTCCATGGTGAGCAGGAACCCCGTGTGTGTCCTCAGTTGGGCAAAAACTTTGCTCACAGCATCATCCCCTGGTATGCAGCACCACTAAGGCAGAGCCCAGCAGCCATTCAGTCAGGGCTTACGGTCCTGCCAACACGGCAGGCCCCACACTAGGGGAAAACTTCACAAAGGGTCTCAGTGTGAGGGGCTTCTGCATGAAACGCTCCCTTCCTGCATGCAAAGGGCCAGCCCTCTTCAGGCCCATTATATCCAACATGATTGGAGGTACACAGGAAGAGGCCAGCCACAGCACAGAAAATGAGGGTCTTTGTGAATGGCTCCCCAGGCTTGATGCCTTTGGAACAGGCCCTGGGACCAACTCTTAGTAAACTCAGAGCAGCTAGAAAATAACTTTTTGTTCAGAGCAGTGGTTCTACAACTTTAGCAGGCATTAGATTCCTCACCTAGAGATTCTAGTTCCACAACTAGGGGCAGGACCCATGGTGCTATGTTCATAAAAGGTACCCCATGTGATTCTGACGGGGACCTTACTTTGAAATGTACTGGGCTAGAGCAGCTTTAACTTCTTTGCACACCCTATTTCTAGAAGGGAACTCTGGTGGCACAGTGCCTAACGCATTTGACTGCTAACTGGAAGGCTGGAGGTTCAAACCCACCAGCCACTCCTCGGAAAGAAGACTGGGCAGTCTACTTCTATAGAGATACTGCCTCAGGAACCCAAGGAGGTGTTGCTAGGAGTTGAATCAACTTGATGGCATTGAGGTTTTTTTTATTATTTCTAGAAAGACACACATACACAAAACATTCCAAGGGATTATAAGGGTCCTTAAGGGGCTCTGGTGGTATGGTGGTTAAGGCATTTGACTGCAAATCAAAAGGTCAGTGGTTCAATTCCACCAGCTGCTCTGTGGAAGGAAGATGGGACAGTCTGCTTCCCTAAAGATTTACAGCCTTGAAAATTCAATGGGCGTTGTGATGAGTCAGAATTGACTCGATGGCAGTGAATTTTTTTTTTTTTTTAATAGGGGTCCTTGGAGGTCAAATGAACAGAACTATCTTTTTTCCTTTACTGGCTTGGATAAGTTAGGGATGGGCCATGTGGTCATGGCCTTCACTTCTTACTCTAGATGGTCATGCAGATAGTGTTGCCTGGTGCAGAGAGGCCTTCTCCCAACCTGGTCCTAACACTGATGAAGCCCTACAAGAGCCCTCTTCCTAAAACACTTCTAGGCCTCAGCCTCAAAGACCGTGGCAGCAGAGAGGTCAGGGAGTCTTCCAGTCCAAGAAAGGAGCTAAGAATGAGGCTTAGGGCTCCATGATACTCAAAAATGGATAGGATGACAAAAAGTTGGGTCATGAGGGCAGAAGGCTGAGGAGTTAAGTCTGGTTTCTGGGCCCTGAGCAAGCCTTGCAAACTTCAAAGCACTCAAAGTAGTAATTTGTGACACCTTTAATTGGCAAGCTGAAGGTGGGGCCCAGATCTGGCTTTGATTCTGGGCTGAGAACTTGTGTTGCAAGCTGGGCCTTACCCAGGAGAGGTGAGGGCTAGGGAAGAGGGGGGGGGGGGAGCTGGCACTGAGGCACTGCCAAGATGCCTCTCCAAACCTCATGTCCCCTTTGTGACCAAGTGGCATATGGAACAGCCTTCTCCAGAGAAGCTGAGGGTAAGGGAGGCCTTGGTGGGGTCAGAGTTGATCGTTAAACTCTAACTAAGCAGCTCATTACTTACTTAACAGTGTCTTTTCCTCAAATTTTCTACCTCTCTCTTTAAAAGTTTCTTCAGATTGACTAATGCAGTACAATGGGTTTCTCCTGATTTATGACCTTTCTGGCCCTGGGTTTGTAATTCTGCCAAGATGATTTCTCAGGCTACAATCTCACAGAGGGATTGGACAGTTTACTATGCAAACAGGGTATGTAAAACTCTTGCAGGGATAGGTAGATCACTAAACAAATTAGGTGACTGTGGCCTGCCTAGGGGGCTGGTCAGTTGTGCCATCTTGCTACGCTTAAAAGGACTATACCACAGAGGTTGGAGGGGGCCTCACTACCATCAAGAAGAGCCTGAAGCAAAGTGTGGCCTTAAGACCCTAGGTGCCTGGTTCTGAGAACCTCCGGGACCCAGGAGACACAGTTGTCAGGACTGGAGATGGTATGAGATAGTATAAGCTGGCATGCGAAGGCATGAGATGGTACCAGCAACAAGAACCAGACAAGTCCAAGATGGCTGTGGTGAGCTTCCTGGCCCATGGAGCAAGAATTGAGCACCTCTGGGCAGGCGGCTTGCTGGCAGAGTAGGGCGCTTCCAAGCACTTGCCTGCAGAGCCAGGGGCTGTAGCACTTTTCTGAGCACGTGCCCTGTGGCAGAAGCCAGGCTCTAGCAGGGACTAGTGGCAGACACCCAAGCACACACAGCCTGCCAGCTAGCATGTCTGAGGCACTGAAAGCGCTTGGTTAGAAGCTGTCCTGACTGATGAACTGTATCCTGTCTCCTGAGTTGATCCCATTCCAAACTGATCCTGATCCTGAGTTTTAGCCTGTTACTTCCCTATTAAAGCACATAATCGTGAGTACGGTCAGTGAGTTCTGTGTGGCCACTGCAACACATTATCAAACCCAGCAGAGAAGCAGAGGGCCCTGGGGAAGATGGCTGGTATCAGAATGATAGAAAGGGTGGAGCGGAAAAGGATGTCTGACCTCAGCCTCACAGAGATCAATCAGCCTTGTGCTGATGCCAATTCCCATGCACCCTCCTAAAGTTAAAGGACTGACGCTACTAGTTTACAACTAACCCTTTTTTTTTTTTTTTTAACTCCCCAAGACAGGCCAGACCCAGGGCTTAGTTGGGTGAATAGGGCAAGTGTACACATGCCAGCAAAGGACAGAAGCTCCTGCTACTTCTCTGAGGTGAAGGGTCAGCCTGAGCAGAGACAGGACAAGGCCTGCCTATGGCTGGCTGGTTTTTTATCACCTACACAAGCCTGGGCTGGCCACAAAGGAATTAGTGGCAGGCAGATAACCCAGTCATGAGGTGATAAGGGAGAGACTGCAGAGCTGGGGAATACTGTCCCCTCTAGCTATAGATCTAATCACCCGTTCCCGGCCTGGTCCCCCACTGTTCATGATGGTGAGTACCTAGAGGGTGACAGCTGAGCTTTGCTTTCACCCTGGAACACTCATCGTGGGCTGGCTTCTCCCTTGCCTTAGCTGTTCTGTCAGACTCATCTTGTACCTAGTCTATGCTGACAATGAAACGGTTAGTTCAGGTCAGTGCCTGGTTTCATCACAGGAAGTGGGCCTTAGGCACTTAGAAGAACACAAGGAGTTGTGTGGTCAAGCAGCAATGAACTAGGAACCCTCAATAGGTTTCTTGGCCTTCCCTGGTCTCAGTGATCCCAACTTCAAAAGGAGGAAGCTAAAGATCTCTTTCAATTAAAACATGGGATGAGGCCCCCCTAGCTGTCTAGCTAAGAAGGCTTGAGCTATGGGGCTTTCCCAGGAAGGCCCAAGGAGGACTGGAGTGAGTGAACTCTAAGGACCTTTCCCTTCAAAAACAGGATGAGAGTGGGGCTGTGGTGTGACAGAAACAGCAGTTGGTCTGGAGGCACAAGAGTCAGTCCTGACTGGGCTGTCCTCTCTGAGCAAGGTGTCCCTCCCTCTAAGAGGGCGACGAGGTCATGGGGAACTAGAGAGCATGCGTTCTGTCAAAAGCTGCTACTCACTCCTGCCAGTTGTGGTTTTGTGAAAGTTTAGGTCGACTTGCCAAGTCTTTACATTTTTCAAGAGCAGCCAGAAACCTAGGTTTTCGTGAAATGTTCCAACTTTCAATCACGAATTTATAACATTTTTAAATGCCATCTGGGCCAAGAAAAAGGCAGCTGAAGGTCAATTCAGTACATGCGCCATCAATCAGTTTTTAACTCTGGCAACAAAGTAAAAAGACAGTGGGTAAAATAAGGCTCCCCTGTACCTGAATCCTCTTAATGTGTCTGAGTTGAGAAATACCCTCTTCTTCCCCACAGTGGAGACCTAGTTGTGGTTCTTACCTCAGCAAAGGAGGCTAATTCAGCACATGGGGATTCTAGAGTCTGGGGCAGTAGGGAGCAGAGTGTCACCAGATCAAGCTGGTGAGGGCTTGGCCTTAGTCTCAGTCCTCATCACCCAAGTCCAGCTCTTTCCAGGAATTCTGTGTCCTCCTTGGAAGCTGCTACTCAGGCCCCATGGCTTAGCTTGGCCCTCAGGCGATGTCTAGATCTTCACCCTCTGGCTTGCCACCTTTGAGACCATCACCCACACTCCTGGAATATCTCTGGGTAGTACTGGAAGCCTACAGGGGGGTCCAGGTCCCCTTGGCCAGAAGCCAGGAGCACAGGCAACCCAGTGACACGCTGGCAGCTCTTGTGCCCCCCAGCACCAGGTCGATGGACCCACTGGTGCTTGGCCATGGCTGACTTCTGGCTGAAGCACCTGCCACACTGGGGACAGGGGTAGGGTCGCTCGCCACTGTGGGTACGCCGGTGGGCCGCCATCTCAGAGCTCTGCCGGAAGCAACGCCCACAGTCTGGACACGCATAAGGCTTTTCACCTGTGTGGGTGCGCACATGGCGCCGAAGGTCTGAGGCGTGGGCGAAGGCACGGCCACAGTCTGGACAAGGGAAGGGGGTCTCACCACTGTGGACCCGCTGGTGCTGGTAGAGGGCAGAGCTTTGGCTAAAGCAGCGGCTGCAGTCAGTACAGCGGTAGGGCTTCTCGCCTGTGTGGACTCGTAGGTGGGTGGTGAGGGCAGAGCGCTGGGTAAAGGCCCGGCCACAGTCAGGACAGCGGTGGGGTCGCTCCCCACGGTGGATGGCCCGATGCTTACTCAGGGAGGAAGCCTGGCTGAAGCCCTTGCCACAGTCTGGGCAACGGAAGGGCTTTTCTCCCGTGTGGGTGTAGAGGTGCTCTACCAGGGTGGAGCGCCAGGCAAAACTCTTTCCACACATGTAACAGCCATGACGCTGATCTGCTCGTGGGACAGGGGGATGGGCCCAGAGTGGGGGACGGCCTCGGCGAGGTGCCCTGGACGGCTGTTCCAAACCGTAACAGAGTCCAGCTGGAGGGGGTTCAAGAGCCTTCAGCTCTGGAGGCCGAGAAGCCATAAAAACGATCTTTTCCAGTGCCTCAGTCGCTTTCCTTTGTCCTTTCTCCTCGTTTCTGGAATCCGCTGGAAGATAAGGGTAGAATTCAGACCCTGGCTCATCCTTGAATCCCCCCCACAAACACACATGGTGACAGAGAAGCCTTATAGCTAACAGCCACCAACCGGACCCACAGCCACCTGTGGAACTCAGCTTGGCGTAGGCAGGGGAGCTAGGGGTGACACTTTCTCCTCAGCTGCTGGGGCAGAAAGAGGAGGGGAAGGAAGGAATAGCATATTTGGCTTCAGGGATGGGGAGAACTGGAAGGAAGGAGAAGACAACGACATCTAAGCCGGATCACGAGGGAACTTCAGGGCATTCCAGGCAGCAGGAAGAAAAGCATGAACATGGCTGGTACTGGCAAGTTCAGTGGGGCTGGCAACTGCAAGGGATGAAAAGAATGACCTGGAGGAAGAGAATGCTGCACATCAAGAGAAAGGAGGCTGCTGAGAAACACAACAAAGAGAAGCCAGCTACAGCACAGGAGGCGGCAGAGACGCTAAGGGGCTCTCATGGTGTGGTGGTGAAGGCATATGGCTGCTAACCAAAAGGTCGCTGGTTCAAACCCACCAGCTGCTCGAAGAGAGAACGGTGAGGCAGCCTGCTTCTGCAATGACCTTGGAAACTCTGTGGATCAATTAGTCAGAACTGATGGCAATGAGAGGTGTTTTTTTTTTTTTTTTTTGGCAGGGTAGCTAGACTATAGAGAAACGGCAGAAGGGATGATGTGGACATAAAACCTCCAGAGTTTAGGGACCAACTACAGAGAGGAGCTTAGAGGCAAGCATTAGCTCCCAGAGTGGAAAGGCAGAAACGCTCGGGTTTGGCACTCCGGTAAGAACTGAATCTCAAACAGCCCCTTTCCAGGCTGAAGCCCAAAGCCACAGCGGAGCCAGCTGGGAAAGCAATGCAAGGAGAAGCAGAGGGTATCGAGGAAGCCCCACAGGAAGGACTGAGTACCCAACACCTTACCTGTATCTGCAGCTGTCAGACACCTTCCCGCCTCCGGGTCCTGGGCAGCCGGACCCCACAGTTCGGCCTCTTCCTCCACCCAGGAGATGAGGGCTGGCTTGGTGCCTCGGAAGCCTGGGGGAGAAGAACGCAAAGCCCAGGCTGAGGGAGGCCGTCCCACACAGTCCTGACTTCCCAGCCCTAACGCCTCACGGTTCACGTGTAAAACCTAGAGACGAGGGGGTGGACGGGGGATGGGGGGCGAGGCGAGTAGGTGGGGCCTCACCGAGCGCTCCCAGGTGGCCGTAGGTCTCCCGCATCACGTCCCGGTACAGGCCCCTCTGCGCCGGCCGCAGGCACGCCCACTCCTCGGGAGAGAAGTACACGGCCACGTCCGCGAAGCTCACAGGTTCGAGTCTCCTCCACTTGGGACCAGCCCCGTGTAGTTCCCGAGCAGGGAGCGGGGCCTGAGGCGGCACCATGGGAACCACCAGTCCCGGTGACGGCGCAGTCACCTCCCCTCACCGGGCTTCAGTCTGCGGAGCCGTGCAAGCTCAAGAAGCGCCTGCCCAGCCTAGACCCAATGATCGGGGTGCGCTAATTAACGCCGCGAGAGACTGGGAACCAGGCTCTGGAGCAGCCACAGGAATACATAAAAACTAAGATTTAATGGCTGAAGGGGCATCGAGAGTCAGAAGATGCCTTCATAAAAAATGGCGACCCTGCGGCCTTAGGAACTTTGGTTCTATGCAATCGCGCCCGCCGATGACGCCACGCCGGTGACCCCAGGTCGCTTTGTTTTCTGGCCCTCAGTCAAAATGGCCACGGTGCCTTCAAGCGCGCGAGCGTAGATGCATATCTACTGGTCAGACCTGAAAACAAGCGGAGCTCCTATGTGGCCAGGTCGGGGCGCTTGGGTTCAAAGAGTGCGCAGCTCGCAGCGCTGGGAGGAGATGGGGGGGCGGGGGCTCGAGAGTTTCGGCCCCAGCCCTGGCCGAGGCACCTCCCCAGGCTGGGAGGAAACAAAGGAGCTCAAAGCGGAGGATAAACGAATAAAGACCCTCGGGTCTTGAGTGGCCCGTCGTGCCTTCGTGAATTCGGACGTTGCTTTTCCGTTACTGAGCAGTTTCGAAAGCATTTGACTGCTAACCAGAAGGTTGGCGGTTCAAAGCCGCCAGCTGCTCCGCGGAAGGCTGATGGGGCGATCTACTTTCGAAAAGATTTACCGCTTCAGATGCTCAATGGGGGTCGCTATGAGTCGGAATCCACTCGATGGCAGTGAATTTGGTTTTTTGGTTTTTGAGCCGTTTTTCATTGGACTTCATTCTTTCCTCACTACTTCAAAAACTGGATGACAGCGATCTTTTCACAAAATGAAGGACAGAAAAAGAAATAGATAAAAGAGAACCTTCTCAATTTGAAGCTTGGTCGAGGCTGAAGTTCTGGAACTTTTATTTCAAGAGGTCGTGGGGGCATCTAGAGGAGAAAGATACAGTCTGAACAAGGTCAGGAGGACCCTGTTTCTCACAAGTTTACCCTCCCCTCATATGCTCTGCAAGGAGCTCTAGTGGTACAGTGCCTAAGGCATCTGACTGGTAACCAGAAGATTGGTGGTTCAAACACACCAACTCTGTGGAAGGAAGAGTGGGCTTTACTTCCGTAAAGATTTACTGTCTGGGAAGCCTAACAGGGGTCGCTATGAGTCTGAATGGACTGGACCGCAGTGGGTTTGGTTTTTTGCATATGCTCTGCAGGTCAGTAATGAGAGGAGGCCTCCCGCATATCTATTCACCCCAACTCAGGCCTGGCACAGATCCACCTGATTGCTTCCCTGCCCCTGCATGGGTGTCCAACAAGCCCCTCCGACTCAGCAAGACTCAGACCCATCCCTTTCTTCCCCACCTTGCCGCTTCTTTCCCACCAAGTCCAGGAGTTGCCTTCTCTCTGATATGTCACCTATCTTTCCCTCTGTGATCCATCCTGCACAAAATTGAGTTTATTTCTCCCCTGTGTAAAACAACTTTCCTGGCTTGGCTTTTGGAGTAAAGTTCAGTCTGCTTAGCTTGGCAGAAAACGTTCTTCAGTTTCTGGCTGCTGCCTTCTCCACCTCGGGAGCTGTCACTCTGACTCCTGTTTTGACTGAATCCTTCATCCACAGGCACCAACCCATATCTTACAATATTTGTTAGTGGATCTGTCTCCTTCCCAGACTCAGGTCCTTAGAGGACAGGGCCTGTCCAAGCCCCTTGTGTGGCCCCAGTGCTTGACGCTTGTTGTTGTTAGGTGCTGTCAAGTTGGTTCCAACTCATAGGGACCCTATGTACAACAGGTCAAAACACTGCCTGCTCCTGACCTATCCTCACAATCGTTGCTATGTTTCATTCCATTGTTGCAGCCAGCCACTGGGTCAAACCATTTCATTGAGGGTCTTCATCTTTTTCAATGACCCTCTGCCAGTCAAGGGATTGTCCAAAGTACTTGAGATAGTCTCACCATCCTCACTTCCAAGGAACATTCCGGTTGTACTTCCAAGACAGATTTGTTTGTTCTTCCAGCAGCCCATGGTATATGTGATATTCTTCACCCACACCATAAATCAAAGGCATCAGTTCTTTGGTCTTCCTTATTCATTGTCCAGTTTTCACATGTATGTGAGGCGACTGAAAAGTACCATGGCTTGGATCAGATGCATCTTAATCCTCAAGGTGACATCTTTGCTTCTGAAAACTTTAAAGAGGTCTTTTGCAGCAGATTTTGCCCAGTGCAATACTTCATTGGTTTCTTGACTGTTGCTTCACGGAAGGAAGACTGGGTAATCTACTTCTGTAAAGATTTTCTGTCTCTAAAACCCAAAGGGGGTCGCAATGAGTTGAAATCGACTCAATGGCAGTGAGTTTGGTTTTGGTTTTTGCTTCCATGGGTGTTGTTTATGGATCCAAATAAAATGAACTCCTTGACAACCTGGCCCATCGTATACCTCAATACCTCATTGTTTCTTGAATTTGTGGGTGAGGATTGGCTATCAGAGGAGTCAGATTTTAAGTCCCAAGAGTACAAAGAGGAGTGCTTCCCTCTGACTAGCAGCTCTGCTCCCGTCCCTCTCTGCAACACCACGACAGCTTCCACCACCTGGCCCTCATCTATCTAAGCACTTTGTGATTTTAGCTTTGCTGTCCTTTCCAGAGTCCCACATCCTGTCCCAAGCTTCCTTGAAGCTTTAACCAACTTTCCCCCACTTCCTGTCTTTGTTCCTACAGTTCCTTCTGAAATGATTTGCCTGTTTCGTGGATACATCTGATTCCTACCCAATGACGCAAACCAATTCAGATTCATCTTCCATGAAGCCTTACAGGTCACCGCACGCTGGATGTGACCTTTCCCTCCCCTAAGCTGCCACACCACTGTTCCCCTCTGACATGAACACCTGATCCTGCCATTAGGATGAACGCCTTAAGGGCAGAGACTGGTCTGATTGGTTCTTCTGTTATCCCCTACGGTGCCTTGTCCTTATCGGACACTAAGAACAAAGTGTGGCTATCACCATCCCAAATAAAGGAAGTCAGAATGGAGGGAATGCAGGCAGCAGGATGAGTTTCTTCAAGACAGAGAAACCTGTTTACTTCACATCATACCTCCAGGCACCTGCCAATTCCAGATACCCTGTAGGGGCAACTGAAGAGGCAGAAACAAATTCCCTCTCCAACTGCTTGAACATTCTCTCTCAGAAAGATCAGCACAAGGCCAGTCCCTATGAGGCAAAGGTTAAAGATGCATAGTGCCTAAGGCACTTGACTGCTAACCAGAAGGCTGGCAGTTCAAGCCCACTAGCCACTTGCGGAAGGAAGATGGGGCAATCTACTTCTGTAGTGATACTGCCTTGGAAACCCAAGGGGGGGCCGCCATAAGTCGGGTCCGACTCGAGGGCACATAACAACAACAACAACAACAAATGTCCAAACTACCATGCCACTCCATCATTTCAGACATTAACTCCTCCTCCTCCCAATAATTTCCCCCATCTTAGGGTTCTGTATTTCGCTGTAACGCCTCACAGAACTTACAGACGCTCAAGGGATCGTCTCACATAGAAGTGAACGCTGGCAGGCTGACGAGTCCCAGGTCCGTGAGTGGGTCTAGAGGATCCTCCCAATTCTCAGGGTTTGATGAACCTCTATCAGCAAATCAGATGACAGCTGCTGTCCCAAATCCAGGGGTGAGATAAGGACGAGCCAAGGCACAGAACCGGAGCAAGAGGAGGGCAAACCTTCCCAGGAGATTTTAGGTATACCCTCAAGGAAGCGAAGGGTGGTGATTTGAATTATACCCTCCAGCAAGGCAGGACTCAAGATACATTCCACCTGTGCTGCTCCAACAGCAACAACCTAAAGTGGATGGCTTTAACAATCAGCAGCTAAAGGCAAATCCCACCACAGAGCCGCTTGCCAGTCATTATAGGGAATGACTACTACCAGCTGCCCAGCCAAGTTGACACCTGACCTTAACTAGTACACCACCCCAAACAGGCGTGGATAATAGGATTTACAATACATCACAGAATGGAGGACAATGGCTAGAAGGGCCACATCAAGCAATTCACCACACCAACCCATCAAGGTAAAGAGAAAATCATACAAAATCACAGCCTGTTCACATCCTTTCATCCTCATAAGCTCCACCTCCTGTGGGACAGGCTGTGGGTCTTGGCACGAGAAAGCTGAGGTGAGGGAGGTAGAACCAAGGCTCCAAAGAGAAAAGGCCTCCAGAGCCAAGGTGGCACTGCTCTCAGTTCCAGGAAAGCATTTCATAGCACAGAGTCCACACCCAATGTAACTACTGTGAGGACCTTTTCCTTCCCGTTGTCATCTTAGGTCTGGGCCACAAGAGCCACTCTGACATTGAAGCAACCAACTCTCCCCATCATTTCTACCCCCAAACCTCCCTCTCTTTCATTCACCATTCTGTCAACACATTCATCGACCATCCCTACACACCTTCGTAAATACCCTACCCTAGGAAAACATTTGTTGTAAGTCAAACAGAGCATTTCACACACGGGACAGAACTTCACACCTTCAGCATGTCTGAGGTCTAGCCTGGAGCTTTTTCTGCCTGCCTGCCTCTTTTCAAAGGCCTTCCTAAGCCTTCAGTCTCACCCCTTGCATCTGGTGGATGATACTCCCCACAGCCAGAGCAGCTGGGCAGTGAAAGAGTTAATCACAGCAGAAGGGTCGATGGGGGCAGGAGGCTTGGGAAGGGTCAGTCTGGTCCAGGAGAAATGTTGTTGGAAAGTGGTCTGGAAAAGCATGAGGCTGCACAGTTGTCTAGGGGGTCTGGACCCCAGCCCAAGCTCTCCCAGCCCTTCAGACCCCTGAGAAACAGAGATGACTGAAAAAATCCACCGAAAGGAATGGCATTTTGTCATCTGTCAGTGTCCACACTCACCTCCCACCATGGAGCCCATCATCCACAAGCCTAGAAGAGC